AAGCCACTTCCGTATGAGTTTGATCCCTACCTGCCCAGGAGGAGATCAACAGACCTCTCTCTCCTGACCCACCCGCTGCTCCCCTCAGCAGTGTACTTCACCTATCTGCCTGTTCTGCTCCCCAGTGTGTCTCTGGTGAATCCTCTCACCCACCGCATCTCTGGCTTGTATGAATAAATAAATAAATTCTGTATGAATAAATAAATAAATAAATAAGTTCTGTATGAATAAATAAATAAATCTTAAAAAAAAAAAACACTCTTACCCAACTAATTTTTTTTACTTAAATTCCTACTAGGTTACTCTATTGTTGTCTTAATAAAAACAGGTCCTAGGGGACTTTCCTGGTAGCCTAGGGGTTGAGTTTCAGCACTATCACTGTTATCACAGATAAGGCCTTAGTTTAATCTCTGGCCAGGGAGCTCACCCGCATATGGCACAGCAGACCTCTCCTGTTCCCCTTAGCAGTGTATGTTAGTTAATCTGCTTGTTCTGGACCCCACTCTGTCTCTGATAAATCCTCTCACTCTCACCCCACACCCCGCACCTTTGGCCTATATCCCAATTCTACAAAAAAATAAATGTATATAAAAACTTAGTCCCTAGTAGAGATAATAACTTTAAGTTTTAATTAGTTTCCCTAATTTTACTTTTTCCATGGGGGACAGTTTAGTTTTACCAAAACAACACGTACCTTATCACCACTTAAGTCAATATCATAGATGTCACAACAATAACCAGTTTTTATAAATGTCTTTAGGGCTCAAAATATGTAATCTCTAGTTTGACAGATACTAGTTACATGTGTCTATTAAACATTTGAAATGTGGCTAATCTGAATTGAGATGTCCTGAATGTGTAAAATATACAATGAATTAGTAAAATCTAGTATTAATAAAAAGAAAGTAACATTTCTGAGTTAAAATTTTATAACTTGCCTGTTGGATTTGATATTAATTTGGTATGTTCAGTCGTATAAAAATATTTTTTATTACAAAAGTTTATTTTTACATCATTTTGTACATATTTTTTCCATCTCAATTGTAATCCCCGCGGGTTTCCCATCACCAAGTCACCCGTGTGCCATCACCATAATCCCGCATAATCCCGTGCATTTCCCTCCTGCCCCCCCCCCCCCCCCCGTTTTTGATCCCATTCCCTACTCCACCCCCGAAAATGTCTCTGGTATATGGTTGTTCATTATTTTTGTTATTTTCTCGCCTGGTGCATTTGTATAAAAATATTTTTAAATTGATTTTACTTTTTGAAAAATGTGGCTTCAAGGAAAAAAATTAATACCATTTGTCTGGCATTCATAACTCATGTTATAATGTTAATGTACAGCAATGGCTTAAATGATAAATCAACAGCTCCTCCCAATTTCTAATCCACAATGGCTTCTTTGCTGTTCTTTAATATACCATATACAAACCTCTAGTTAAGTTCCCTCATTTCCTGCTGATTGCTGTTAAAATGATCAGAAAGAAATTCTCTGACAAATTCATTTAAAACATCTTCCTCAATACACGTACACACTTGATAACTAGTGTGTGTGTGTGTGTAAAAGAACCGCGGTGTAGGCCAGAGATGCAGGTGGTGATAGGATTTTACTAAAAAACACTGCTAAGGATAGCAGCAGACAGAAAGGAGAGGTCTTCTGTGCCATATGTGGATCAGGTCCCTGGTGAGGGATTGAACTCAGGCTGTAGCAATTATAGTGCTAGACTTAACCCCTACGCCACAAGGGTCTCCCTCAAACCTCTTTTTTCAAAGCACTTATCACTTAGTATAGTAAATTAATTTACAGGAGAAGAAGAGAGAGAGAAAGTGAGAGAGATTGATCTACTCTTAGGTAGACTATAAGCTGAGTGAAGAAGGACTTTGTCTGTTTTGCTTAGTTATTTCTTTAGAATAGTGCCTCTCTGATGGTACATAATAAATATTTGTTAAACTAAGAAAAGGCTGAAATGTCGTAAAAGAAAGTGTTATGAGATTAGCAAGAAGAAAGGAGTTGGAAAATGAGAAGAACTAACATTTCCTGACTGCCTACAATGAACTACAGACTGTGTTAAGTGCTTATATGTAATATCTCAATAAACCATGACAGAAATGTATTTACAGATGACAAATCTAAAGCTCAGATAATTTACATAATTTTCCATGGGTCACTTAGCTAGTATGGAATGTTATTTTATTTCAATGTCTCCAAATGCATTCCCTGACTAACAGAGTAAATTAGATGCTCTTATACTGTCTCTGAAAGTACTCTACATTTTCTCTTTATGTCTCTTGTCATCACTGTAATTCACTGCATAATATGGTTCTTAAAGTTTGTCTTTTCCATTCTTCCATAAACGTCATGATGGGTGGAAGTGAATATTCTGTTTACATTTCCATGCCCAGAGTCTTCTACCTGTCTATTATTTAATCTTTAATATTTATTTGCTAAATAAATTAATTCAATTTTCTCCCAAATATAACAGTGAAAGAGTGAGTTATCTGTGTTCAAGAAGGATTATAGCTAAAGTACATGCATGATACCCACTGGAAGTTAGCCACTGTGCATATTGTAGGGGAGACCATGCTGGTTGAGGGTGAGAATTTGTTCTTTGCAATTACCCATATGTAGCAGAGCACGGGTTATGAATGTCCTCTGAAAACGTGCTGTCCAACATGACAGTCCTTAGCCACATGGTGCTTTTTTTTTTCTTAATAAATTATACTTGTATAACATATATATTTTTAATTTTAAACTTTACATGTTTTATTTTTAATATAGTAGCTTATTTTTTACATCATTTTGTGCCTTTTTCTATCTCAGTTGTAATCCCCATGGGATTCCCATCAAAATGGTGCTTTTTAAATAAAAATCGAAGTTAAATAAAATTGAAAAATCATTTCCTCACTCATTCTTGCCACACTTCAAGTGTCAGGTGATCACATGTGGCTAGTGGCTACCTTACTGCACAGCAGAAAGACAACTTAATTATTGGGAAAACTATACTGAATAGCATTATTCTTGAATAACCTTGGGAAATATATTTTTAAACCGGAAGGGTCTTGTTTGTTTAGTTTTGTATTTTAACTAAAATTAAATTCTGAGAAAGAATCCAATAATCTGTATCCCCATGTCTTTCTGGACAAGACCTCCACATGGAAAAGAAGCTTCACTGTCCAGAAGATGAAACATTTAGTCAGACATGCTCATGCACAGCCAGTGACTGGTGTGGAAAGAACCACTCCTCCAAGGGTTCCAAGCAGGCCTACTGTTCCAGGGACGCTGCCAGCACCTGGCTGGATCAGCGCCATGTCTAATGCCATTCAATACCATCACTTTGCATTTGATGTACAAAACAGAAGGCTGAAATCTGAAGAGGAGGAAAGGGTTTGTGATGCCTACTGCACCTCAGACTATAGTTAAATTCACAATTTCTAAGAGAAAAAGTTTTAAAATGTCTCCTTCTTAAAATGTCATATATCTTCAGAAAATTTCTTCATAATGCAACTGTAATGATTTTGGACAATGCAACTTAACTGTTTGTTTGTTTGAGATTCTGTCGCTGAAGATTTTTCTTCCCTAGTTGAAGAGGTAAAATATTACTAACACTGGCTTAAAAATAAAATGGTTTGTAGACAGGAAAAATCTATTTTCCAGTTTATTTTCTGATTAATCTTATTCTGAAGGGTAAGAATTGTCTTCTTTATATAATTCAGGTATTGTTGATATAATGTGTTCACATTTCTCCATCATTAGTCAGTTCTACTAAGCAAATCTTCCATCAAGACTGAAAATATAATAGTTTCTAGTTCTTCTTGACAAGTGACCAGTAGCAGAGGCAAGGAAGGGTCCCCCACATTTTCAAACTCAACAGGTGGGGGACATGGAATTTTTATGTTCTTTGGGATTGAGCTCTCCCAGTTTTTCATGGTAGGCACTGTAAATCCTACCTTAGATTTTCTTAAGAAAGACGCCGCCAACTGACCACCGTCTTTCAGTGTTAGATTATGGAGTGGGAGGGGTGGTGAGGATAAAGGAAGGATCAGGAGAGTAAGACTGGAGGAGAGATGCTAGGATGGGACACAAGACTTCCTGAGCAGCGAACGTGAGAAGCTGTGGAGAGAGAAGACATGGAGTTGGTAGCAAAGGTGAGAGAAAAGGCAAAGGGACGAAGAACCCGAAGAGTGCAGCACCGGCGGACCTGGGGCGTGGCAGAATGGGGAAGGGTCACGCAGGGACGTAAAGGTCCAGGGCGGCGAGCCCCGATGGAGACGCCGAAGCTGGCCAGGGACTCAGGGACCGAGCTCCGCCGATGAGGTCAGTGGAACCGACGCGCTCGGAGGAGGGCAAGTGGAGCCCCCGGACGCCGGAGTTGCGAGGCTGGCGGAGGGGCGGGACAGGACGGGAAATGGGACGGAGAGCGAGGGCTGGGGGAGGAGGGACAAGGGGGCGTCAGCGCTGGAAGCTGGAGGCGGCCCGACAGGGATCGTTTCCTTCCGGAGAGGAGGCCGGCTCTGGGCCGAGGCGCAGTCGGGGGGCGACCAAGGGCGGGTGACCGGGAAATACCGCGACCCGCGCTTCCCCTCCGCCTGGCAGCGGTGGAGCTAGTGGCTCCTCCTCCGGGCAAGTCCGGTGCCTGGCAGCTGGGGGAGCGGGAGGCGGGGAGAGAGGGCGGGGGCTCAGGAAGGAGGGCGGAGGAGGGACCAGGCGCGCCAGTGACAGGGTGGCAGGCTAGGAGCGGACGCGTTGCCGCCGCCACTGCTCCACCTCCTCCTCCTGCAGCTCCTCTTGCAGCCGCTGCCGCCGCCGCCTCCGGGAGAAGTTTCACTCCCGACCCTCGCTCGGAGCCCCGACCCAGAGCGCAGCGGGGAGCGCGGCCGGCAGCTGCTAGCCGCAGCGGGCGAGGCGCCCGGAGCGCTCCGAACTCCAGCCGGCGTTGGCGCCTCGGCGGCGGGCAGCGGCCGGGGCTGGGGGCGCGGAGGCGGAGGAGGGGCGGGTATAAGGCGGAGAACCCAAGCGCAGCGCCGCAGCCGCTCTGCTAGCGTCCGCGCGGGGGCCAGCAGCGATGGCCGTGCGCTCCCGCCGCCCATGGATGAGCGTGGCATTGGGGTTGGTTCTGGGCTTCACGGCCGCGTCCTGGCTCATCGCCCCCAGGGTGGCGGAGCTCAGCGAGAGGAAGAGACGCGGCTCCAGCCTCTGCTCCTACTACGGCCGCTCGGCCGCTGGCCCAGGCGCCGGCGCGCAGCAGCCGCTCCCCCAGCCTCAGCACCGGCCACCGCTGGAGCAGTCGCCGCCCCCCGCACGCCCGGAGCTCCAGGGGCCCCCGTTGCCTGGGGCTGCACTCGGGGTAACCAGTTTTCGGAGCAGCCCCTGGCAGCAGCCACCACCGCTGCAGCAGCGGCGGCGAGGACGAGAATCCGAAGGCGCGACGGGGCTCCCCGGGGCCCCAATGGCCGAAGGGGAGCCAGAAGAGGACGGGGGCGCGGCCAGGCAACGGACAAACGGTCGCCCGGGGAGTAGCCACAACGGCAGCGGAGACGGGGGTGCCGCCACCCCGAGCTCCAGACCCCGGGATTTTCTATACGTGGGGGTCATGACCGCACAGAAGTACCTGGGCAGCCGCGCACTAGCAGCGCAGCGGACCTGGGCACGCTTCATCCCCGGCCGCGTGGAGTTCTTTTCTAGCCAGCAGCCCCCCAACGCCGGAGTTGGCCAGCCCCCGCCACCCCTGCCTGTCATCGCACTGCCAGGGGTGGACGACTCCTATCCACCCCAGAAAAAGTCCTTCATGATGATCAAGTACATGCACGACCACTACCTGGACAAGTATGAGTGGTTCATGCGCGCCGACGACGATGTCTACATCAAAGGTGACCTCCCAGCGCTGGCTGTCCTGCCAGACCGATTCCTTTCTCTGCAAGCAGCCCCAACCCCTGCCCAGCCCCTCTGTGCTTTTCTGCCAGCACGTGCTCGCGGCTCCTGCAGCCCCCAGTCCGCGGTCCTCACCCCTCGCATCCGCCCACCATTTCTACTCCGCTCCTCCTTTCCCGCAGTCTGGACGCTCCTCACACCTGCCTGGCTTTAATCGCCTTCCTTACTGTTTCCGTTTTCGTCCAGCGCTTGCCTCTACTCTAAAACGCGTAAGATAGGCGAGGAAAGGCAGCGTAGGGCTAAAGCAAAGGCTATTCCCACTCTACCCAGCTCTGAAAACCCGGGGTTGTGGTAGTGGACCAGTTGGTCCAGAGGGGCGTGTCCTTGGTGGAGCAAAGGAAGACCGAGGATGCCGGCGACAGCCATTCTGGAGATCTTGCTCTCGCTCTATTCCACTGTCTTTTGTTTCAAATGTATCTAGCACAGTTTCGGAACTGGTGAAACTGAGGAATGCTCTTTGCTGTCCCGGACCCTTTTGTGTGTTTCCTCCCACTTACCTTGACGCGCCAAGAGCTGGAACCCTGGTGCTCCCCACCGCTCCCGCGCGAGACTACTTCCAGCCTTTGTAGTGCCGCACCAAGCTATTCCACAACTTAATAAAAACCCCGAGGGATGGGTGTACTGTTAAGAACTGGTGTTGGGCAGAAAGTGACAGCTTCTGCATATGATTCAGAATTTAGGCGCTTCATGTTGTACCCAGTGCACAAGTGTTCCTTTCCAGCCCATCTCTGTGGCTAGGGCAATGGGCTGTAAGTCCTTCCCAAAACCACACACAATCAAAGCACGAGAAAACTTACATGGGAGTTTAAAAGAGGCGCCGTCAGCACCCTAACTAGATTTCTGATCTCATGGAGGGAAATTCCGTAGAACAGGAGTAAAATTTTCCCCTCTTACCCGTTGTGAAGCTGGAGATGGAAAAATCAGGGTTGTATTGAATGAGATCTCCCAAGCTTTCTACATTTCTAGTTTTTTTGGTCAAATGGGGGCAGACATTCACTAGTTTATGCAGCTATACTTCTATCCTCATAGCTTTCTCCAGATCCAGGTCGTACCTTTCATATGACTGAAGAAAAATAAAATAACAAACTAAAAACATACAACAATCTATCCCGTTTGGTTAATGGAGTTATATTTGAGTTGGGTGGAGAGAAGTCACATTATGGTTTGTTTGGATGGCAAATATTGATAATTAAATAAAAAATAAAGATATAGGTAAGTCAATACAAAAAGAAATTTCATTTCTGATGCGTGCATTATCTTATATCTATAGGTTATAGAGCTACTATGGTACAGACCCTTGTCTTCTGCATTTCATTAGAATCACAAAAGTGTCCTGATAGAAGTTTGTTAACACTTTGCAGACAATTTCTAAAATGCATTGATACCTAATTCTGTCATTTCTTTTAATACCTTGAGACATTGTCTTGCAGGACACTGAAATGTCACATTCTGTGTATTTCTATGGAAACAAATGAATTTTGTATTAAGAACCCAGCATAACAAACTCCTAAAGATCCAAGGGGTGTGGCATAGGATCAGGCTCCTTGCTCATCAGACATTACAGTAAAATTTCTTTCTGGGAATATAAAGAAGGTGATTACTTATTCCAGTGCATTGCTTTGTAGATTACCACAGGCTTTTGGACCATTTATTTTACAGTAAAGTAGCAAACTCTGAGTAAACCAATTATAATATTTAACTTTTAACAAACGTTTATTTTCCCACTAAACATAGCCTATAGATATGATCCTATACTCATCAGAAGTGTGATTATTTATTTTTGTACTGACTTATATGAATCTTCATTTCTAATTATCAATATTTCCAATGCAAACTGCCTGAATGTAATCTCTCCACCCAGTTCAAACCCAATAAATCTCTATTATTATTTCCAAAGTTTGATTATGATACTAATTTATAATATATCTAAAAATTAATATTTTTAAATAACATACTGTAATTTTTTTCAATTGCATTAAGACTATGGGTAGTTTACATACAATACTGAAATGCATTCCCTTACTTTGTACATTATAAATGATTATGAAGTTAGGAAAAGGAGTGACTGTTACCTTTCTCTTTGCAGGTGATAAGCTGGAAGAGTTTCTTAGATCATTGAATAGCAGCAAACCTCTCTACCTGGGCCAGACTGGCCTGGGCAATATTGAAGAACTTGGAAAGCTGGGGCTGGAACCTGGTGAGAACTTCTGCATGGGAGGACCTGGTATGATCTTCAGTCGAGAAGTTCTCAGGAGGATGGTGCCACATATTGGTGAATGCCTCAGAGAAATGTACACGACTCATGAGGATGTGGAAGTAGGAAGATGTGTACGACGTTTTGGTGGGACTCAGTGTGTCTGGTCTTATGAGGTAAGACAACCTGTAATGAAAATGTTCATATATTACAAGTGCATGTCATTTTACAGTCAGTTTACAGGTTCGGTAATTCTATTTATTCTCTCTGTGTCTTTGAATTTACTAGAAAATGATAGCAGCAGCCATTATCCACACAAGGGTGACTGTGGGAGACACATTTCTTAATAAAACTAAGGCCTATATGAGTCATTCTTATCAACCTGACTCTTAACTTTAAGTAGCTGTCTATAGATTTGATCACATTTCTGGAAGATTGTATTTTCCACTTTATCTGCTTTATTGGTGTGTATAAACATGTGTCTCTACTTCCTGTCTCTAACAAAAGGACTTAACTTTATTCTCTGGGGTTGTAGCTTTTGGTGCTTTGTTGTTTGTTGTGGTTTTGCTTAGGTGTGTAACAGCATTTCTTGGTTTCCCCATAATTAGAATCTGAAATTTCTAGTATGATTTTCATCTGAAAAATTTTAACATGAATTTTTTTAATGCAAGAAAAGTTAACTCATATCACTTGTCATAGATTTATTTACAAAATTTTAAAGTGAATAAATTATCTTAGAAAACAGAAGTTATGAAGATATTAAGTAACTGCTTCATATTTTGGTGGCCTAAAGTTGTTTGTGTGCTTTTATTCAAGTTTCTGAACATTCCAATTTCTGAGCAACCATTATTTAAGTAATATGAGCTATGAACTGTTGTTTTATTGCAACAACTAGTTGCATAAAATACTATGGAATTTTTTCCTTTCAGAAATTGGCTTTGAAATTAAATACATTTTTATTTAAATTATTTTCCTGAAAAATAAACTTATTAAAAAATCTTATTTAACAAAAGTTTAGTGTATTACAGTTTTCATTTTAGTTTGGTTTTCACTGATTGGAGCTTAATATATTTTAACTGTCCTTTGTCAATTATAGCAATTCATTTACTATTATTTTCAGCTTTTTCATGATCTTTAGTATAGAAGAAACATTTTATGCAAATATGTAAAATCATTATAGTTTAAAATAATAATATAGTTAATCATACTCATTTCTCTGTAATCTCACTTTTTCTTTCTTTTTTATACTTTGTGGTATTTACACTTTTGGTAAATATGCTTTATATTTTTTCACAAGTTAAAAAATTGATAACTAGTCACTTCAAACTAAAAATTATTAGATATCTCATTGATTTTGAGGTTAAAGATATACTTTTTTTCATAAAATACCTCATGCATTTGAGTAATAATTTATGTAAGACCATTTTACCTTAAAAATAAAAAATTTAGAGTAACCTCAAAGAAAAAAGAATTCTTTCCCCATTTAATTGATAATTAACTGGAAGGTAAAATAAATATGTAACATAGAAAATAGTCCGTTGGTTTCATTTACATAAAGATATTACTTTGCAGATATTTAGTCCATAGGGATGAGTTTTAAAAAATAAAGATGGAAAAATATTGTTTTATTTGATACCTTATTGCCTTGACATCATACAGAGTTTTAAAATGTTCCTCACTTCAAGTTTTTTATTGATTCTCCTATGAAAGCACCATTTTCTTATAGCAGCCTATTCATTCATGTTCCAAAAGAGAAAAATATGCTCAGGTGACCCAAGTGCTCAAGAATTGATTTAATAATCTATTCATAGTATAGGCCTTTGTTCTAGTTATATCAAAGGGAGTTATCATAGATGTGTGATCTTTCAAAGTAGAATTTTAGATTTTTTCATTAGCTGGTTTGAAAGAGTGTACAAAGAAGACTCCAAGTTTTATAGGCTATAACTTTACAATCACAATATTTTCATTATTTTTTTCATAGTACATTTCAGTTTAGATTGATACTTTTCCAGAATCTGTATGAAAAAAAAACCTGTATTTTTCCCAGCAACAGCAAATACTCTCTTCTAAAGTACTGTAGTTTTAGAATGCCGACTTTTATGTTCTGCTAAAATTTACTTTCTTTCAAAAATTCAGTCTTTACAGGAGCTATTTAAACATTTATTTTAGAGGAGACATTCATAAAATCTTAATACAAAGTCTCAAAGTCTTTTTAAAAAATGATGGAAAATTTCATTACCAAGGTATATTAAACAGTATCTGTTAATAAATTCAATGAAGACAAATATACAGTTAAATGATATCTAAGAATTTTAATGTTATGATGTATCCTATTCTTACGAGACACCACAGTATGTCATTTGGGGCACAGACAAACAAGGACTTTTTGGTTCGGATTTTAGTTTGGTTGAAATGATGTTCATTTGTGTTACTGTTCACATCATCTGGAAAAGTTAATTTATCCCATGCTGGGTTGGTGTCCTCAATAAAGATAAGATTTCACATCTGGTCCTAGAATAGGCCATGAAATTGATTATTAATTTTGTTTCCATATTTCTTTTAAAGGAACCATCTGTCACAGAATTTTCTTAAAATTTTGAATTTCCTTTATCTATACCTTTTTTTTAAATTTAAAGATTTTGTTGAACTTTTCCTCATAATAAAAGGTTTTACAGAGTTAAGAGCCCTGTTGCAAAAAATCATGTTTTTGAATATGAATGGGTAAAAAATTCATGATAGAATGCTATTTTATTAAATAATGAACAGAACTGAAGGAAGAGAATTAGTCCATAAAATTTTTAATATATAGATTTGGTAGCTTTTCTTGAACCTAACAATATTTTTATAAAACTTTTTATTATTCTTTACTGCTAACTTGAAGTCTACTTTCTTTGTGGTAGAGAAAAAGAAAAAGGAAAAGAGGGAATATGAGTATCAACTTAAATTTGAGTTTGAGTCACCATAGTATCATTTACTAGTCTCACTGTCCTTTTGTAAAGAACTGTTCTGTGCCTGGTTTCATTCAGCTGAAAAGGGAGATTATAACAATGTCTACCCCAAATATTTTGGGGAAAATTAAGTTCATAAAATATATATAATAGTTAATATAGTGTCTGGCATCTAGTAATTTGTTAGTAGATGTTAATGACTGCCATAATGCTAAATTATATATAGAATACTATATAACACAACTTCACCGATTTTATTCATTTAATCATTATAAGTAATGAATGATGAATATTAGAAATTCTAACTAAAAGTAAATTAAAGAATCCAAATTTTAGGAATTTTATTTTTGTCAAAGGGGGAGAAACCAATACACTTCAGTATTTTAGAAATGTGAAGAATGCATTACCAATAAAACTTATTATAAATCACAGAGGTCTGTTAAAAAATGCAATGCAAATATTTGCTCCAGGCTTTGAACACCACATTAAATAATTAATATTAAGGAGGTAGTGTGGAAATCCTGATATTGTTTAACAATGATTATTAAATATACACAGTTAAGGAATCCCAAACAGATCATACTCTAGCCACATAAAAATTTACTATATAAGGCTCTCCCTGGTGGCACAACAGGTTAAAGCACCACATTATGAAGCTCTCAGAAGCCACTGCAGCACAAGTTTGATCCCCGGCCAGAGAGCTGCCCCACAAGGCACGGCAGACCTTTTCTGACCGCCTACTGCTCCCCTCAGCAGTGTACTTTGTTAATCTGCCTGTTCTGCTCCCCACTCTGTCTCTGGTGAATCCTCTCACCCACCACACCTCTGGCCTGTACTCCAGTTCTGTAAGCATAAATAAATAAATCCTTTAAAAAATTAGAATAAAAAAAATACTACATAGATTTCTAGGTTTATTATCAGAACAGCTGCTCCTTTTCCCCAAGTTTCTCTGGAACTTTCAGTAGGAAAGGAAGTCAGTAGCATCCCTTTCTGCAGTAACCTTATCAGAATACCTTTCTAAAGACATTTGGAACTTGGTAATGTCCCCCAGTTTTTTTCAGGCTCTTTCTTACCATAAAGTCTTGGTGGTCTGGAGAAATATGACCTACCTGTTGGCCTCTTGCTCTGTTTCTTTCTCTGTCATCTCCACTACTAGCAACAGATACCTTATGGATCAAATGATAACTTGTAAGTGCCTTTTGATATACACCACTTTTCATTAGTGCTCAGTAAATTAACACACTCATGAGAGGCTGACTCTGTTAGCAGAGGAGATCACAGGATTGTGCACCCAGGTCACACTTAGGTTTCAGGAATGACTTGGCCTCTTCTGAATGAAGAAAACCTGGGTTACTGGTAAGCCTCAGACATACTGGTTTTCTTGACACACAGGTAGAAACAGATCTATGACAGATGTAAATAATCAACAGATTTCATTACTGTTGTACATTTTTTTAAAGACTTATTTATTTATGTGTACAAGAACTGGGGTACAAGCCAGAGGTGCAGGGGCTAAGAGGATTCAACAAAGACAAAATGGGGAGAAGAACAGGCAGATCAACTGAAATACATTGCTGAGAGGAGCACTGGGTGGGTCAGGAGAGGTCTGCCATGCCATGTGGGTCACCTCTGTGGCTGGGGATCAAACACATGCTATAGTGGCGACAGAGAGCTTCATAGTGCTGTGCTTTAACCTACTGCACCACCAAGGAGGGCCCACTTTTGCACATATTTACCTCAAATTGTATATGCAAGGATTACTAACTGAAGTATGTTCATGAAAAATTATTCCATTCTGTTCATCCCATGAGAGTTAGAATTTCCTGGCATCTACTGTTGGCTAAGTTCACATTTTTGGTTGATCTCTATTTTGGCTACTGTTTTTCTAACTATCTGAGCTACAATCTGGCAGCTCTAGAGGCTGCATATGGCTCTTAAATTGTTTGGCACTTGGAGTTTTTTAAAGTTTTTGTTTTTCGATGCATTCAGCAGAGGAAAGCATTCTTCAGTTCCCTTCATGCCCTTATATTAATTATATTAACCTTATATTAACCAGGCTCCCCTTATATTAATTGCCTGATCCAGGTAGGCCTGTGTTTTTGATGTTTTCAACTGAATCTTCATATATAACAAATTTCATTAGAATAGTTCCTGAAAAAGTGAACCAACTTTCCAGTGAGAATGAGATATACATTATAAATACTTTAATTTACAGAATAATAGCTTCC